CACCTATCTAAAGAAATTATAACTATTAATTTAAGGATCTAAATAGTGTATATGTATTTATATAGCTGGTATTATTACTGTATTCCACTTTCTTTGTAAATACGTTTTATTAACACCCGAATCGCAGCAGGTGAGAAAGAGACAGAAAAAAGTGAATCCTGTTTTTTTTATGGTCTGTAGCTGAAATCCTACTTAACCAAAAATTAAATACAAGAAGAATATTATTGGACAATGTTGTGAGGCAGGACAGGTAACAGTTTCACCCATCCCCCTTCCCTGCTTTATGCTCCTAAACAATATGCTCCTGCTTTGTTTAACGATGATATGAAAAATACATCTAAATGGTGAAAAAGCTATGCTTTAATTAAGAGTTAAATGACTTAGAAGACAAAGATAAAGATCTATGTTTGTCACAATGATGTTTGTCACATTACATTGTCAGATTGTTAGGCTCGACGCGATGCGGAGGGCCCGCAAACCTTTTAACTGTGACTATATCCACGTTTATTGCTTTTATAAAATGGTCCCCATATATGCAATTGCTGTATAGAATTAATTTAAATTTTACCAATTTATTTAACACAAAAATTAAGCTGTTTACATTCCTCCGCCTGAGAATATAGTCCTTCGTTGCTACGCAATGCAGAAACACAGCCACAAGTAACATTAACTAGCAAAGAGAGAACATTAGCTAGCCAATATGATTAATACAGGGGAAAAAAGCAATTGGGGAAAAAAAGACCTGCTGATCTGTTCTACATTCCAGGAAGATAACAGAATATGATTTTTTCTGAACGAGATGTGTGTTGTCCTTATGAAATTCATGTATTTTAAATGTTTAATTATGAAGTAAATTAACTATCGAAACCTGTTTTTATAGTTTTTAAAGTCATGCAATGTCTAAGTTAAGCAGGAACACATTATATCTCATTTTTTATTTTATTTTTTAAAATTAAAAAAATCGTTTGCCCAGCCTAAGGGTGGGGGGTGCTCTCATTGACAGCTGACACTCCTCCAATTTGTTGATAATAAAAATGTTAAGTTCTCTAAAGCTTTCTCAGTCAAGTACGAGAATTCACCTAGAGAGCTGTGTAAGCATGTGTAGGCAGCAAAGGATCAGCAAAACTGAAGAAAACGCTTTCAGAGAAAACAATGTTTCAGGTGTGAAGAATACAGATCCCCAATTCAATTTCAGCCTTAATCAGTCCCCACACACCCTGCCCCCGCTGCAATTAGAATATACACAAAGCACCGGCAGCTTTACAGTAGATGATCAGGTGTTTCGCAGCCGTAGGCATAGTACGTAATTCAGGGTTTATGAGCTCACACCTGGGATTCGATTAATTAAAAATAAGTTTTTTTGTAAAAATTGCACCAGATATTAGATCTTGTTTATATTAAAGTTGTATCACTGGGCAATGGCTAGCCTCAGGACAGCACTGCTAGAGCACCACAACTTCTTAACACTCGTGTTTCCATACTGTAGTTTGAGTCATTGTGTAAGCTTTTTTACTTCTCAATTAAACATTTGAAACACTTTAATTTTGTAAACTTAACACGCATTCCGTACAGAAGTAAAATCACGTTTTCTACAGGTGTTAAGCAGATTAGCAGGTTACTGACAAAATAACACACTGTCCACCACTGTGGATGTGTGGAACTCAATTTGAGTTCTGTCTTGCATTGTCAGATTGTAAATAAAAAGCATTTTATTAAACACGTTTGCCATTTTAATCAAGATGGGGGTGATGGGAACTCTCTATTATTCTATATTATATTATAAACGCCCAAAGAGGCATTCTTTTCCTCTGGTTTAACAGTCTGTGCAGAAACAAAACAATCTGGTTAAACGAGAGTGTGGCATTACTTTTTGTCAATGAAAAAATAAAGTATTTTTGTGTCGAATCAGTTTTCCTTCTTTCAGTTGGGTAAACATGAAAAGCATGAAGCAACATGGGGTCATTGTTATGATTTCTCTATTATCAAAACTCTCAAATCGTTAAATTTTGGTTATTTTGGAAACATTTTGACGTGTTCCTTGTAACTGTCGATATTGTAGCAATAGACAAAATGAAACGCTTTGTTTGTAATATAGGGATTAAATATTTATGTCTTTATTTAGTGGTCACATTAGTGACAAAGGCTAAACTTTCAGCTTCAGTACTGCGTACACTGTATGGCCGACATTACATACACTTTTGGCCGATATTGCATGTTTAAATAAACAAAAAATAAGTCATTTATTCCTTTATCATATTGGCTAGCTAATGTCCTCTCTTTGCTAGTTAATGTCACTTCACTTTGTCGGGCATAATTTTTTAGGCAAAAAACAGATTAAGATTGTTGAGCGGAATGAGCGGAAGTATTCATGGAAAATGGTAATCACTTAACTCGCTTAACTTTGAACGTTCTGTGATATTTATAAATACCAACAAATTCAATATAGTGTCGATAATTTTTATTATCAGTCATAACAGCTATAGCAGCTTCAAATTATTCGTTATTAATAAATGACTTAGCTTCAAACATGTAATAAAATTTAGAAATATAAAAAATGTCAATATAGCGTCCATAATATTTGCTATTTTAGTTTTTCAAATAAATGTTTATTTGTTAAAAGAAAACTAATGGTGACAGCTGGGTTCAAACGACCTCAGGCATCTAAGGTACAAGCTTAAGCCATCATGCTACAGACGTAATCACATAGAAGGAGTGAAACTGAGGCACACATCCATAGAAAGTGTATTATACTACTATTTGAGCTACAGTATATTATAAATACTACTATAATTGTATCGTAATTAATTTCTTTAGATACATGATTCCATATTATATTCCCTATTAATCAAATTCTAAAAGTATGCTTTTGTTTACTCCGATAACGACCGTATTCTTAGAAAAGGTTAAAACATTATAACTTTTTATAAAGTATATAAACTTAATATGGTCAGAAGGAGTATGTAAAAACTCCTTCTTTTCCAAAATAACCACATATAAGACTTTGATGCTTAGAATGTTTAGGAAGACAGTGGAATACTGGTGTGTATTTTTCTTTAAACTACCAATACCAGCCATATACAGTTTACATAATGTTTATGTTCCTAAATTAGTATTGTTTATGACCATCAGACGTGTTATGCTCCTCTTCTTTTTATGCTCAGCTACTAAAATGTCCTTTTAGTTGTAAAGTTATATATAAATATTCAATACTAAGTGGATTAAAACATGCACAGTAAAGAGATTAAATGATTAAATCTTTTCACTAACGACCAATGTACCACGAGTGCGCCTGTCGGTCATTTTGGCCAGCCAATCACGTACCATGGTGCAACGCAATGACTTGTGGGTTATTGCATGCTGTATGGGTTTATACCGCGCATTTGGAATGGCTGCATCTGTATGTAGTCCTTTTCTGGGCACTCCACTTAAAGCACTTTACAAGTAATGGTGACTCCACCAACAACGTGCAGTACCCACCTGGATGATACAGTGGCAGCCATAGTACGCCAGTATGCTCTCCAAACATCAGCTATCACTGGGGAGGAGAACAGAGTAATGAAGGCAGTTCATAAATAGGGAGTATAAGGAGGCCAGATTGGTAAAGGCCAATGGAAAAAATTTTGTAATACCCCTTCTCTTTTTGTGAAACACCCTGGGATTGTTAATGAGCACAGTAAGGCAGTAACTTGGTTTTGCATCTCATCCAAACAACGGTGCCTTTTTGCTAATGTAATGACTGCACGATGAGCGCACACTTCCAGCCTCACTAACACTTTATCAAGCAGCAACCTCTTCCAACAGCAACCTTGGTGTTTCCCAGGAGGTCTCCCATCCAGGTACAGGCCAGGCTCACACCTCCTTAACTTAAGTGGGTTGCCAGTTGTGAGTTGCAGGGTTATATAGCTGCTGGCTTTTATTATTTTGTTGAATGATGTAACAACTCCTTCCTTAGGTTATTGTGTCAAAAACCAAAAACATGATAATTTATTATAGAAAGTTGAGGGAGTCATCAGTCACTAAGGAACATTAAATTGTCAACAGTTATAAATATCTTGGTACTGTTATTTATTACAAACATTTGAGGAAAACACAGACACCATATGTACACTATATGAGCCAATAGTGATTGTTCTTCCTAAGAAAACTCCAGTCTTTTAATGTGTGTACTACAAAAAGGATTTATTTCTGGTCTTAGGTCTGTCACTTACAGACACGTTGAGGGAGTTCAATCTCTTAACTGTTGAACAGATAAGATTTGATTTCAGGATAAACAATTCTAAGGATCATTGATAGGGACTGTTCCACAGGGTCATTAATAGAATCTAGAGGGAATTCACTTAGGATGGAGAATGGGAAACACTTCCCAAGGAGACACCATCCTCTGTCACAATAAAGCTTGCTCCATTATTCAGGATCTCAACCTGACCAAGCTGTACTGCACCATTAAAGCATGGACCACTAGGCTTAAGAACAGCTTCTATCCTATGACATTGCACATCATAAACAGCTAACTGTATAATGCCTCATAATTCAATAAACCTTTGCACTCTGCACTTTTTACTTGTCTACCACTTATTTAATGTCCTGTGTGTTTGTTGTACTACCTGTTGTATCTTGTGCCTTGTTGTACAGTCATTATTGTTTACTGCTTTTACAACCATTATTTATTATTATTTACTGCTTTGTAATGTTATATTCATATAGTGTGAAAGTGTTGTTTATTGTACTGTACACATCCCAAGAGAACAGTGTGAATACGAATTCCGATGTACATGCACGTATGGCAAATAAACTTCTCTCTCTCCCTCTTCTTTACTCAAAGAGAAAATAGGCAGAATTGTTCCCTCTTGTTTGCAGAGCTTTTTTCTTAATTATACAAATGTAAAATATATGCATCTCAAGGAACATTGATGCAACTATCAGTGTGAATTCCTACATGTAAGCTTGGGTTTCTCACATGCTTGGCTTTTCCCTATCCATTCTGACTTTTATTCCTGTAGATTCTTCCTATTCAGAACCTCCTGATGTACAGCAGCAGCTCAGCCACTATCAGTTGGCTGCCCGCAGCAACAGTAGTGCTAGCCCCACCCCTCTGCCCAGTACCACCTCAGAAGTGAAAGCTGAGGGCCTTCTGACCTGTGAGTTCTGCGAGTTCACTTCTGGATACATGCAGAGCCTCCGGCGGCACTACCGTGACCGACATGGCGGGAAAAAGCTCTTCAAGTGCAAAGACTGTTCATTCTTTACCTGCTACAAGTAAGACATTTTCTTGACTTCACAGTACAAATTATTGACCTGTTACACCCTTTTTTAATAAAATTGACCTTCAGTTAACTTAAGTAATATCTGCTTAAAGCGCTATATCTTCAAAGCTTTAGGTCCCGACACTGAAAAGTTTCATTCTGGATTTGTTCTTCTTTGAAAATGTTTACATATATACATTGCTAAAACTCTATAGCATTTCAAATGCTCTTTAATTCTGTGATCTTATTTATATTTATATTTATATGTGTATTTATAATATCTCCACATTAGTGTTTTTGGGCCCTTTCTTCTAATTCTTAAACTTGCTTTCACAGTTCCACACCTCAAATGTAATTTACTATAATTTTCTTAAACACCCATCCTGATTATTTAGTCTAAATTCTTTGTCAGGTTTTTAAAGAAGGGCTATGGATCTTTCTTTCAGGTCTGCTTTCACAATGCATGTGGAAGCTGGACATGCCACAGCCCCAGAAGAGGGGCCCAAAGACCTGCGCTGTCCTCTCTGCCTCTACCACACCAAATACAAGAGCAATATGATTGATCATATTGTCCTTCACAGGGGTAGGTGTCCTACGGTACTTTTGTTGTTAATGTCTAAGACATCTGTGGGCAAAATACGGCTCTTGAGGTAAAAAATTAATGAGTCAATATTCGCCATATTCCACTTTGTTTGGTGCTGTTTTTTCTTACATTTCGTTATTCGTGCCGTTAGATGGCACACAAACACTTTACCACAGTGATTCCAAACTGTGCATCGCGCCACCTTGAGGAGGCACCTTTGTCGGTCAGGTGCATCTCAGGTATCGCCAGTCAAAGAAAAATTGTATTACAAGCAAAACGCGCTGTTCGTGCACACAGGATGTATGAGTCGTGTGCTACCTAGTGGATTTGAAAGTACTAGATTGTGTCACATGACACTGGCCACGAGAGTTGGCAGTCTGTAAGCAGCGTACTAGTTGACCGCAGCTGGTCATTTTGTGAGTTTTTTTTTACACAATCGCAATTGAGAGGTTTTTAAATACGAGTAAAATACGTCAAGGACACAGAGTGTAGTTCTAAAGAGAAACGGAAACGCAAATACAGAACTAATGATGACAGTTTCTTGAATTTCGGTTTCACATGCACAAATGTGGGCACTGAAGAATGTCCTCAGTGTGTTGCCTACCTTGAAGTGGGCTGCTGAGAGCATTCTCCCCAATAAATTGAAACGTCATTTGGAAACTGTTCACAGTAGTTTGATAAGTAGGCCTTGTGAGTATTTTTCGCGCAAGTTAAATGAATGAACAGAAAGCTGCTTTTTCTAACCTAACTACAGTCCCCATTAAATTTCTTTCATCATACAAAGTTGCGTACCGAACAGCACAATGCAAAAAACCTCATACTATTGGAGTACCAAGGAATAAGCAACAGAGCTCTGTGAATTCTGCTTCCCTTTGCAATTTCCTGCCTTTATGAGGCTGGGTTTTCAGCACTTGTGGTAATCAAATCCAAGTTCAGATCAAGAGTCGTTGTTGAGAAGGAGATGCACCTTGCCATTTCAAAAATACTTTTTTTGGTGAATTATGTTAATATAATTTATTACATTATTATTTGTCTCCCCCCTTTTTTAAAAAACATTAATGTTACATTTTTACTTTTTCTAAGTCATTTTATTTGCAATTTACAAAGATGTTTACTATAAAATGTATAATCACCTTGTAAAGTATTGCACTGCCATAGAATGTATTTTTGATGCAGGGAAGGCATGTGGAAAATTTGACAGGTCAAGGGAGGTATGGACCCAAAAAAGTTTGGGAATCCCTGCTTTACCAATTTGATTCACCAGTCAGAGTGGGTCCATCGTACTGTGAGGGAACCTGCACCAAAATGAGTGGATTGAAGAAGCAGAAAGTTGACAGTGAATGTAGAGTGTTCAACAAAGAATTGACTGCAAAATACTTTTTCACAGAGGTTGGAACAAAGGCTGTATGTTTAATTTTTAAGGAAAGTGTCACAGTGTTCAACAAATACAATCTCAGTTGGCATTTTTCTGCCAAACATGATAGCTATGCTAGCAATCTGTCATGCGAGGAGCGGGCTGAAAGAGCTTCCAAACTAGCCGCTAGTTTACTGGCGCTGCAAAATTTATTTTTCCGCACAACATGCATCTCTTTCTCAACATTGACTCTTTGTCAATGTTGAATTTGATAACCGCAAGTGCTGAAAACCCAGCCTAACAAAGGCAGGCTGCCTGCCTACCTATAAAATTGCTAAAAAAACAAGCCACTCTCTGAAGGGGAGCTTTTGAAGGAGTGTATGATAGAAACCGCAGATATCCTTTGTCCAGAGAGTAAGAGCAAATTTGAGAAAATAAGTTTATTACGCAGGTCGAGGTAATCGGTGAAGACTTGGCTTGTGAATTGAACGTCAAGTTTTTTATTTATTCAATTTTCATTTTTTTTCTCTCAGGTTATCATTAACCTTGAACTAATTAGCTTATGTTGGATTTTAAACTTATATAGAGCATAAGCTATCTGTAACAGTAGCCTGAAGTTGCCCCCTATACAGTTTCAAAATTTTATGTGGCCCTTGGGCCAAAAAAATGTGCCCACATCTGGTCTAAGACCATGTCTTGATAGTCATTGATAGTGTTTGTTTTTTCTTTAATGATTATCTTGATTTATCTTAACCTTCATGAGTAAGATCAGCAAGACAGATGTTTTTATTAGCAACATTATACATTTTCCAGTTTAATGCACTACTGGGAAATCAACCTGCAAAGCTAATCAAAAAAGTAAATGGAATAAGCACGGCAAGAAAAACTTTGGCACTCTGCCTAAGATGGTGCAACAACCTGATGTTCTTAGGTTATTCAAAATGTAGCAAGACTTGGCAGACTGTGACATGATCTTGTGAATTACCTGCCTTTGTTCCTCCGTACAGAGGAGCGAGTAGTGCCAATTGAGGTCTGCCGATCTAAGCTGTCCAGGCACTTGCAGGGCATCGTGTTTCGTTGTGACAAGTGCACCTTCACTTGCTCCAGTGACGAAAGCTTACAGCAGCATATTGAGAAGCATAATGAACTGAAGCCCTACAAGTGCCAGCTCTGCTACTATGACAGCAAGCAGCGGGAGGAGCTGGAGAACCACCTGCGTGATGAACACAAGGTAGGTATCTGCAAGATTGACTGCAGCACTGAAAATGGTTGGAGTAGTTAGACTAAAACATGTTTCATTACTAGTGGCATAAATTGTTTTGATCTTGTAGAAGTCTTTTTAATCTGTACACAGTTTTCTGTCTTTCTTGACATCAATGTGCTATGTGACTCTTCTGCTTAAATTAACTCTTTTTCTAGAAAATTAATTATTCTTAAAATTAATCGGTGTGTGCGGGGAGACAACATTGCACACTGCTTTCAGCCCCACAGGCACACTTTGAGTAATACACATTTCCGTTCTGCCTCCTTTACCCTTTTAGAATTATTTTGAAAAGCAAAAGTAAAAGTTAGTTAAAATAAGTATGAGCTTTGTGAAACCATTTACCAATATGTTATTCCCAAAGGCTACTATATGAGTATTATATATAACAACCAAATGTCACAGTATGCTTTGGTTATGTAACTGGCATTGTCTGGCATGAATTTAGATGGATTAAAAAAAAAAGAGTAATTATTGGAGTTAGGGTTAACAGTATTGTTATTGTACAGTTGTTTAAAAGATAGTGGTCTTTTCCACCTGTTGTTTTGATGTACACCATGTACACATACACAGCCAGAGTTTTATATCAGTTCTTTCATTTTCTGCGGTAGATTCTCCAAATTACATTTGACTTACTATAAGAATTGTTGTACTGTTTTTTTTTTGCCAGCAGTCTATTCTTTTTCTCACTTGTGTTTTATACAGAGGACTCCTTCTCCCAAGTGCCAATCTCAGCTTTTAGTTTCTGTGTATAGGTGAATGCACTGTACAAAGATTCATATAACTAAATGCTTTTTAATGTAAGTCATATATTTTAATGTAAATGCTTTTTAATGTAATTCATTTTTCATATTTGTTATTTTATTTTCCTCAATTCATTCACAATTAAAATCATCGTAATTAGTTCCTAATTGTATGATTCAACACAGTTCTTACTTCAAGTGGAACATTTTGTTTTATCAAGATTCAGTACTGGTACAACAAAGGAATGAAGTTATGGCATATGATTTTTATTATCAATAAAAAAGTTTGCAAGTTATTTTATAGTACCCCCTGCCCAATATCATGAAATTCACCCAATGCTAACAATTTTTATCACAAAGGATCCTAAAGCACTTCACTTATAGGAGGCGACACACTTTATCAACCACTGAAACATAATACTCACCTTGGTGAAATGTGGTGGCCATTTTGCACTAGCAGCCCCACTACACAACAGATCAGATCGAGAAGTGAGGAATCTTCTCCAATTGAATTAAGGGCAAATTTTAGAAATGCTAAATTGTTTACATCCATTTGAAACTAGACAACTTGTCAAGTTGTTTCTTGAGGAATCCAAGATCATCATCACTGTCTGATAAAGTGAATTCCTCTTCATCCTTTTTATTTTTAATGTTTCACACACTTGTTATATCCTAAAGGTAAGCCGAAACTTTGAACTGGTGGGACGAGTGAACTTGGACCAGCTGGAGACCATGAAAGATAAGACAGAGAGCATGAGCAGCACGGAGGAGGAAGAGGATGACGAAGAAGGAGATGAGGAAAATGAGGATGAAGAAGAAAATGAAAAAACTGAGACAAAAGGTTTGTCATAAACAGCCATTACAAAATGTGTTCAAACTGAGATTAGTTGAGTTTACAAGGCCTTTACAAGGGCTGGTCTCCAGTAATACAGTAGCTGAAATGTTTTTTAAACCCCATTTTTAGCATTTCCAAATAGAAAATTAGTTATATTTGCATATCACAGAACCAAACTTCATACTTCACAAAGTAGTTTTGAAATCATTAGTATAACTTCATATAAACTTTGTGACAGAAATGCATTAGCTGTGAAAAATATTTATGCACACCTATAGAAGTGAACATGTAGCAGAGCGTGCTCAGGTCATTGCCAGTGTTTTGTATTCTAATACTTTGGTAACAATTTTAGAATGCGTGTTATCATGAACAGGTGTTTTGATATTTTCTTTCCGTGCTTTAATTGTATTGATATACAGTGCTCTAGGGAGGAGGAGTTTAACCAGATTTTTTTTAAAATGCTGGATAAATAGAAATGCAGGCAGTCTACTGATCTGCCCACCTTCAAGCACCATATTTAATGCTTCACAGACGTTTTAAGAGAGGTTTTGTGCCTCTGAAGGATATAAAAGTTTAAAGTTCCTGGGAGGTTATTATGTCGCTAGTAGCAGAGATTGTCCTGGTTGACTCATTCCAACCCCTTTTCTTGCTATGAGAACTATCAGCTCTAGGAAGGTGACAATTCAGGGGACTCGTAAAGTGTACAGATGCAGCCATTCAAAATGCACAGTACAACCTTGTACTGCGCAAAATTACCCACAGTTCACTGCAGTGTCCCGCGGTACTTGATTTTGCTGGCCAAAATGACCGACAGGGGCACTTGTGGTGCATTGGTTAAATGGTGCAACACTTAAATCCTCAAAAACTGCTTGTGTTAATTTGTTTAAATCACAAAATATCATATGTAAATACCAGCTATGTAGTACTCCACATTGTGGAATAATAGTTTATTTTAAAGGGAATTGGAGAAACTAGGAACTAGAGAAATCAAGAAAGTTTTTTTTTCTAGAATTAATAAATGCACATCCTGTTCACTGGGGTAATTAAATCCACACTGAGCAATCTCCAATATGTTCAGAATTTGACAGCCAGAATCCTGATCGGGTTGCATTATGCCTGTCTTCAAGTCCTTGCACTGGCTTCCTATCAGGTTTCGAGTCAACTTCAAAATCCTCATCCTCATTCAGTACCTATCTGGCTTATTATCTGTCTACTTCCCACCTTGCAAGCTTTGTTCATCTGACTCTGGTCTTCTAGCTGTTTTTACACCCTACTTTATTGCTTTGAGATGCTACTTTTAAAGGTGCCATATAAAATAAAGTTTTTTATTATTGTTATGGAGAAACATGATCAGATTTTCCCTGGTTCAGAAAAAAAAAGATCTAAATTATACTAGTTTTTCACTCTTCTCACACCTTCTTTGCTAAATGGCTTTGCATCCTAATGTGATCAGTCTAACTACCTATTTTCTGAACTTTCTCTATCCGGCTAGATTTATAATTATTCTGAAAATTTTATTCTTAAAATGAGTGATTTCTAAATACCTATTTCTGCTGTTAACATCTTGCAGCAACTCTTCAACAAAATATACATTTAGCTCAACCTGTTAGTTCATCCTGCTACCAACATTGAATATAAAAATCTCTAGATTTCTATATATATATATGTCTTTATTTAGTGGTTTCATTTTTGACAAAGGTTAATTTTTGAAAAATTTCTTTTATGCATTGCAAAAAACTGACTTGCTTTAACAAATTATATTTACAAATCCTTTTGCCTGGCAATCTATCTGAAAGCCCAACCATCTGAGAAACCCTCCATGAAACCATGTTTGCTATTAATTCATATAAGGCTCTCTGACAGAATTAGTTTTTTATGTGTGCTAATTTTCTGACTCTATCCCATCAAACGTTCTTACTCTGAAATCCACCTGATTATTCAAGCCCCTCACTCTCTGCCAAATCTATTTCATGTTTGCATGTTCTTTTGTAACACACACCTTTCTGTGATTTATTTTGTACATCTTAGCTTTTGCAAGTGTTCCTGCATCCCTCTTCTTTACTATGTCTAGTCACGGCTTTTTTCTGTTTGCTTATTTCAGTAACACTCCATTTCTAAAACTTTTTGCTCATGTGTATTTTTACATTTATTTACAGCTCTAGCACTTTAATGTCCTAAATTTTCATTTGCATTAATTTGTAGACTGAATTTTAGTTTTAGCCTTAAAAAGCTTAAGTTTTCTCTATCTTTTGTTTCTTTTGTCCTACAACTGTTGTCATTGATCACATTGATCAAATTATTGCACTTGTCATGACTTCTTTCATTCACCCTTTCCTGAACATCTATGACAAGCAGAGATAGTGCTGTCTCTGGTGTGATCTTTTGCAGCTGAAATGTCACTGTTTAAATGAATAAGAAATTAGATTGCTCATAAATCGAATCACTTATTCTACATAAACACAATGTAATTGCTCCCCGAAAATGCTCTTTTTCCTGTTTGTTTAAAGTTATACCAGGCAGTGGTGGACGGAGCGCTATTTTGTCAGCAACCTGTTAATCTGCTTAACACCTGTAGAAAAAATTATTTTGTTTCTGTATGGAATGCGTGTTGCATTTACAAAATTAAAGTGTTTCAAATGTTTAATTAAGAAGTACTTACAGCTTACACAACGACTCAGGACATTTCATTGCTGGTTACCTTATATTTATTTTAAAAAAATGAAATAAAAAATAAGATACAATGACGTGTTCCTGCCTAACTCAAACATTGCGTGACTTTAAAAGCTGTAAAAAATGATTTAGATTGCAGAAAGACACCTTGCTCTTACGTTTTCTCAATCCATACATGAAGTTAATTCATGAAGGATTCATGAATACATGAAGTGCAGGGTTCCTGCATTAACACAGTCTGCTTATAACCTCTGCCTCTCTAAAGAACATATATTTTCACTTTCTATTTAATTTGCAATTGATTTACAGTGCCTTGCGAAAGTATTCGGCCCCCTTGAACTTTTCAACCTTTTGCCACATTTCAGGCTTCAAACATAAAGATTTAAATTTTTTATTTTATGTGAAGAATCACCAACAAGTGGGACACAATTGTGAAGTGGAACGAAATCTATTGGATTTTTGAAACTTTTTTAACT